TTTGTTCTCTTTGACAGGTTTTTGGAGATTTTATTTCTAATTATTTTGCAGGCTTATTTTGTTGGTGATATGAATGAATGGAAGCTGAATGGCATTAATCTGATTCTTATATTTTTGGGTGCTGGCTTCTGCAGCACCGCTAGAATGTTATTAGATTTTATTGTTATGGGTGATAGTAGGGAACTCTTGGCCTCATAGGTTTTTCTTTTCTCTTTTGATTAGTTGTTGTTGCCTCGATGTTGAGGCAGTAAAGAGGCAAGGTCCCCATTAGGACAACTGACAGCTATTTTTTTTTAATATTAGTGCGTAAACCCATCATTGAGATATTAATTAAAATAAAATAAGAAAGTCTCCGTAGGCTTCATTTGAGAGAACCTTTTATTGTTTTTTTAAAGCAATTTTTAGTAACAATTTTTTTTAACTAGAAAAAAAAATACAATGGTTAAAAGCTATCCCAGAAAACGTCTTAGGCTTCGTCTTGGGATAACTTTTCTTAATGCTTTCAAAACAGGTTTCTAATGCAAAATTTCTAGTTTAAAAATTTGCCTCATCCTTGAACATTTGATCTCATTTATTTAAAACACTTTGCCTATTAATATTTTTCAATTATTTATAAGGATTAACTCCTCATCTTGCTTGCCCATTTTGACAAGAATATTAGGAGAACACCTTAAATTACTTCAGCAGCAGATGGTTACTCTAACCAACCTTAATTTACCTCTTAAGCTCCTCCATAAAACACTCCTTTTGTTTGGAAAGCACTGCCACACCTTTTCTTCCCTAGCTTTCGCAAAGCCAGCGGAAAAAAATAAAGAAAGCAAAGTGAAGTTGCAAAAATAAAGGTAAAAAGAATAGAGGAAGTAGAAAAATATTAAAGAAAGGAGGGGGTTTAAAGCATACAAACAACACCAAATAAAAGGACCACACAGGCCTTAACCGCAGGTATCTGAGAGCTTCTTGAAACAGATGTCATCTTTATGTTCTCGTTAAATCAAGCCACCAAATACAAAGAAAGCAAAGCTCCAAAGATTGATCCCAGGAGTGGTTAGAAAGAAGTGGAAGGGAAAAGAAGAGAAAAAGAAGAGGAAAGACTAATAGAGGAAGAGCTTAAGCAAAGCAAACTTTTTTAGGGTTTCAGAATGAAAATAGAATCAGTGTTTTTCCAAGGCTCTCTATTGCAGCAGAATGGTAAGGAGGAAGCACCTCCTGGTGGAACATGAGTAATATGAGGCCCAACTAATGGAGAATTCTCTGCCTCTTCTCCATCCTCATCCTCTTTCTTCTTCCTCAGCTCTTCAACAACATCTTTCAGCCCTACTAATTCTCTTCCTTTGAACTCTTTGTTATGAGAGCCAAAAGAACTTCTCAACAGTCTATGGAGCCAACTTTTCTGTTAATTATGTCCGCTCTCTTCGGCTAATATTTTCCAAATCTCGGTTTTGTTGATGATCAGTTTTTTTTTTTTTTTTTTCCTTATAGACACTCTATTAAAAAAGATCAAACTCTATCAAATTTCTCAATTCTTTGCAAATCCTATCATGTTAACAAATTCAAAGAAAATTCTTGATAAGAAATCTCACACTTCCATGAATAGGCAAAAATATTAGTTTAATATTTATTTCATTTATTTTTGGGTATTATAAAGTAAAGAGCTTCTCTTTTGTTCATATAGATCTTGTCTCCCTAACCTTCTGTACTATTTTATGCACTTCTTCTAACTTGTAATTTATTAAATTTTTTGAATATCATCCTCTAATGTGGAAGGATTGTAGGTGAGATAGGAGAGGTAAGCAGCCTTGATAGTCCTTTTAAGAAAGCTTTGAATTGGGAGAGCACTGATGCACAACAACAAGGACATATACTGTTGAATGTTAAGCAAAGAGAAACTCAGAGAGCTTATACAAGCCATGGAAGATACAGTGAGAAATCCAAGCAGCTAACAGGAGTAAAGCTTCTGGAGTCAGATTCTACCAGTCCTCCTCTCCTTAGATCTTGCGTCACCTCAAGTTAAGCTGCAAATAAATGTTAGATTTTCTCAACCAATAACAGAAACAGAAAGAAGGAAATCTTCGCCTTCCCGATCATGATCATCTGAGGTAATTTTGGACTTGTGGTTTTTTCTCTTAGCAGAGAGATGATAAAGAAAAGTACTTAAGTAAAAGACCGATAGAAGGGTTTTGTTCTTTATAATTTGTCTAGATTTTATCTCTCAGTAAACATGCATATATATATATATATATATATATATATATATATATATATATGCATATTTTTCATCAAAATATTTCAAAACCCATAATTATTTATCCTAACAAAACAAATTCATATATGGTTAAGTTATAATTGTTCCTGCACTTTAATTCCTCAAAAGTAACTGTTCCCACTCTTTTTATAAAAATGACTGAAAACCTATTAGCACAGCTCAATTGCTTTAGGTGAGGTCACACAATAATTTCTCATCACAATCTCCCATTTCACACACTGACTAGTGCTAAGTATACAGCTCATCTCTTGATCTGTTGGTTGGAAGCATTAGCTACCAACAAAAAATTCTTGTATTCGACGCTTGCATATGTGATGTGTGCGTGAGTTTGCCTTTAATTAGCTCAAAAGATAAAACAAATAATGAAATGCCTTTACTTGTTTCAGGGATGTACTTGTTTTGTTGTAGGGATGTACTCCTTGGCGAATCTAGTTTTTATGAACGTAATTTATAAAATAGTTGCAATGAACTTGTCCACATGGGGAAGTAAACCATGAAGCGAAACAAACAATAAATAGAAAATTGTAGTCGAATGAAAGAACAGTTGGATTTATTAATGTGGAAAAACCTGAAATCGGTAAAAAAAATTATGGAGCCACACCACTCTATAAGAAATTCACTATGAACGTTTGGGAGAAATAGTACAAATATCTCTTCTCTCTCACTCTCACCTTGTCACTCTTAACTCTTTCACCATTCTCATACTAGAACAACAAAGAGAAAAACATTAAAACTACCAAGGGACGCAACCTTTCATGAAAAATGAAAAAGAAAACTTCCCAACCAACCTCGCAACACCACAACGCTAGGTTTCAAGTGGACGACACTCCACTCTATGTTTCAAATCTACTTGGCCAGGCCTCAGAATCGACATCTGGAGCACCACAACGTATTTCTCTCTGTCACTTGCATAAGTCATAGCACCTCAGTGTTTTGCTCTCTACCGCTTGCATGAGTCTTAGCATCGCAACAATATAAAGTTGTACGAAAAAAAAATTTCAGGTGCAAATGACTTAATCCCAAGAAGGAGGAGGACCCCAAGCGAGCTCGACCAACGGAATTGAGGTTCGAGACATAAATATAACTTAATTGATCGACATAATCAGATTCCACACAAAACTAACATTTCTATTTTACAATATACTACCTTACGTAAATAGGTATTGTATTTAATGGCTACTCTTTGTAATTGAAAATGACTGATGAGTAGTAAAGATCACAGTCACGCTTTATTTGAATGTTTCAAATTTTTTAGGATAAATGATATCAAAAGGATTTGTGGCTTTAATTGCTCTTCTTTGCCTATTAAGTATTTAGTTACCCCATCGCGAAGCTGGTTTCAGATCCTTGTGCCATAGCTGTTGGCATTATATGGTTGATGTGGTGTGGTTTGGGTATTCTCTTTTTTGGCGGTGGTTTTTTTGGGTGTTATATGGTATTCTTGATCTAATTTTGTTCTTCAAGTTTATTGGTAGGTACTCTTACAAGTGGAGCAAAATTTGGAGAAAGGTACGTTATTTTTCTCTTTGTTTGGTCATTTTTCTTTATAGTAGATTTTTTGGCAGGAGAACGGAGCTGAAAGCATTCAAGATTATTTGGATTCTCCTTTTTTGGGTGCTATTGCTGAATAGCCCGACTTTATTAATTTCTTTTTGTAATCGTAGTGTAAGGATCCGCCGGCTCGTAGGACTTTTATTTTCTTTTTGGATTGTAGCTCTTTTGAGCAATAGAGAGCTGGTGGAACCTTTTAAGGACTTTGTAACCGTTGTTTTAAATTAACACGTAAGCCCCATGAGCGGGTTTTAACCAAAAAAAAAAAAAAAATGTTATCCTCATACTTTGGCTAGTTTGTTGTTCACTTTGACAGGTTTTTGTAGATATTTCTATTATTTTGCAGGTCTTTTTTGTTGGTGATATGATGATTGAGCTGAATGGCATTATCTGATTCTTATATTTTTGGGTGCTGGCTTCTGGCCGCCCTAGAATGTTATTAGATTTTATTGTTATGGTGATTAGTAGAGAACTCTGGCTCATAGGTTTTTCTTTTCTTTTTGATGTTGTTGTTGCTCGTTTGAGCAGTAAAGAGCAAGGATCCCCTTAGGACATTGAACTATTTTTTTAATATTAGTGCGTAAACCCGTCATTGAGTTTTAATTAAAATAAAATAAAATAAGAAAGTCGTCCCTATGCTTCATTTGAGAGAACCTTTTATTGTTTTTTAAAGCAATTTTAGTAGATATCCCAGAAGAAGTCTTAGGCTTCGTTTGGGATAGCTTTCTTAATGCTTTCAAAAGCAGTTTTGTAATGCAAAAATTTCTAGTTTAAAAAATTTGCCTCATCCTTGACATTTGATCTCATTTATTTAAAACACTTGCTATTAATATTTTCCATTACTTCTTAAGGATTAACTCCTCATCTTGCTTAAGCCAATTTTGACAAGAATAATTAGAGAAACACCTTAATTACTTCAGCAGCAGATGGTTACTTCTAACCAACTTAATTACCTCTTAAGCTCCTCCATAAAACACTCCTTTTGTTTGGAAAGCACTGCCACCACCTTTCTTTCCCTACTTTCGCAAAAGCCAGCGAAAAAAAATAAAGAAAAGCAAAGTGAAGTTGCAAAAAATAAAGGTAAAAAGAATAGAGAAGTAGAAAATATTAAAGAAAGGAGGGGGTTAAAGCATACAAAACAAAACAAAATAAAAGGACCACACAGGCCTTAACCCAAGTAAATTGAGAGCTTCCTTGAAACAGTGTCACTCCTTTATGTTCTCTTAAATCATAGCCACAAATACAAAGAAAGCAAAGCTTCCAAAGATTGATCCCAGGGTGGTAGAAAAGGGTGGAAGAGGAAAAGAAGAGAGAAAAGAAGAGGAAAAGAGACTAATAGAGGAAGAGCTTAAGCAAAGCAAACTCTTTAGGGTTTTCAGGAATGAATAGATCAGGTGTTTACCAAGGCTCTCTATTGCAGCAGATGGTAGGAGGAAGCACCTCTTGGTGGAACATGAGTAATATGAGGCCAACTAATGGAGAAATCTCTCATATTCTTCATCCTCATCCTCTTTCTTCTTCCTCAGCTCTTCAACAACATCTTCAGCCCTCTAATTCTCTTTCCTTGAACTCTTTGTATGAGAGCCAAGAACTTCCACAGTCATGGAGCCAACTTTTACTGTAATTATGTCCTCTCTCGGCTATATTTTCCAAATCTCGGTTTTGTTGATGATAAGTTTTTTTTTTTTTTCCTTATAGAACACTCTTAAAAAAGATCAACTCAATCAATTTCATCAAATTCTCTTGCAATCCTATCCATGTTAACAAATTCAAAGAAACATTCTTTGATAAGAAATCTCACCTTCCATGAATAGCAAAATATTAAGTTTAATATTTTTCATTTTTTTTGGGTATTATAAGTAAAAAGAGCTTCTCTTTTGTTCATATAGATCTTAGTCTCCCTACCTTCTGTACTATTTTATGCACTTCTTCTAACTTGTATTTATTAAAATTTTATTGATATCATCCTCTAGTGGAGGATTAGTAGGTGAAGAGGAGAGGTACAGCCTTGATACTCCTTTTAAGAAAGCTTTGAATTGGGAAGAGCAACTGATGCACCAAACACAAGGAGCATATACTGTTGATGTTAAGCAAGAGAATTCAGAGAGCTTATACAGCCATGGAAGTACCAGTGAAGAAATCCAAGCAGCTACAGGAAGTAAAGCTTCTTGGAGTCAGATTCTACCAGTCTCCTCTCCTAGATCTTGCGTCACCTCAAGTTTAAGCTGCAATATGTTAGATTTCTCAAACAACAAAACAGAAAGAAGGAATCTTCCTCCGGATCATTCATCTGAGGTAATTGGCTTGTGGTTTTCTCTTACAGGAGATGAATAAAGAAAAAGTACTTAGTAAAAAGACCAATAGAAAAGGTTTTGTTCTCTTTAATTTGTCTAATTTTTCTCTCAGTAAAAACACTTTTTAAAAACAGGCCTCCACATGTTTCTTGTTTTGATCTTCTTATATTCTTCTTCTTAATTTATACTAGTGCAATAGCATAGAAACAGGTGCAGCTTTGAAGAAGGCAAGGATTCAAGGCTCTTCACAATCACAGTCCAGTACTTTCAAGGTTTTCCTCTCTTCATATATATACACAAATTAACACTCATATATTTAACATAACTATGAATAAAAAATAAATAAATGCTTCAATCAGTTCAGAATTATTATTAGAATATTTAATATTTTGCTTCTGGTTAATCATTAATTAAGTTTTCTACAGGTAAGAAAGGAGAAACTTGGTGATAGAATAACAGCACTTCACCAATTGGTTTCCCCATTTGGAAAGGTATGAGACTATTTGCACCAAAGTACTAATATTTCTCACAGCAGAAACTTTTTAGATTTATATAAGGAAAAGTAAGAGCAGGCCAGCTTCTATATCGGTGAACAAAACACTCAGTATTTTACCATTTCTATTAATTAATATGTGCATATTTTGATATTGATGTTACCAATAAAGAGAAACCTGGCGTGAGTTTGGGTTTGGCTTTCTTTTTCAGACTGACACAGCTTCTGTGCTGCTGGAAGCCATTGGCTATATCAGATTCCTTCAGAGTCAAATTGAGGTTCAATACTTCTCTCTTCTACCCTGTCTTTTCCTTAGTTTTTTTTTTAATTTCTTTCGTGTGGGTGAAGAGATGGAACATCAAAAAGAAATGAGATGTGAGTTCAGTGCACAGAACCACGAAAATATAAATAGAGCTGTTGTTTCATGCGGAATCTTTTTCGTTTCATATTTTTTGTTGTCATATGTTACCGATCAGAGAAAACTATGCTGTGCTTACTATGCCTTTCAATCACTTTTTGTTTATCTTGCAGGCTCTAAGCTCCCCGTACTTGAATACTGTATCAGCGAAAACGAGACTGCCTGTAAGCTATCATTAAACCTGCTACCCTCAACACCTAACCACTCCCCCTATTCCCACTCAATCAGAAACATAATATAGCTCATGAGGTTCCGTTTGGGATGACTTTCTTGCTGCTTCTCTTCTTAAAATAGCTTTTTAGTTAATTTTGTACTAAAAAGTTACTTTAAGAAGCAATAAAAAAACGGTCTCAAACGAAGCTTAAGAAAAAAAGATAGAAACAGACTCAAATAGAGAAGAATAGTAGAACTTCATGTACAATACAAGATAATACAACGAATGAGGCTTCTTTTGGGGTGGTTTTCTTACTGCTTCTTTAAGTATTTTTTTAGTTAATTTTTATACTAAAAGCTTCTTTAAAAAATAATAAGAAAGTTGTGCCAAACGAAATTGAAGGAAAAAAGATAGAAAGTAGACAGAAATAGAGAAGGAATAGTAGAACTTCATATACAATACAATATATATTTTTTCAGAATATGAAATATATATTTTTCCTTTTATATTGTATATGAAATACAAATTTTATTTTGCAAAAATTTAATTATAGGTTGTTGTCTTTATGTGAAAGGTGTGATCAATGTAGAGATATGATAATTTTTTTTCTAAATAAAATGTGATTATAAAATTATTCTTTTGAATGTTTTGTCCTTTTCTTTATAAAAAGTGGTGGTTATTTATGAGAACAAAAATACCACTAACACTTTTTAAAATCTTGGCCTCATGAATCTCTTTATTGCAAAGTGTGACAAAAAATATCCCTTTAGTTACACTTTGTAGTTTCTGCACATATTTTGAAGAAGTGTATAGTCATATTTTTTCCAAAGTGGGTAATTTAAATATTATAATTTAGCTAAGGAGTTCTTTTTTATCTTTTTTTTTTTGTAAAAATGTATTTTCTTGATTTAACTTTTAATAGTTGATAAATTTTGCTTGTTCTAAGTTTTTGATTTTTTTTAGTGTTTTTTAACATAAAATAACACTGAGAAAAATACTAATCTAAAGCTTGAGAATTTGTTTGCTAAATTCACCTAAAAATCTCTTTTTATATTGATACCGTAAATATAATATATTTTCATACTATGGATTTCCTTTAAGTTTTTCTGCGAATCTCACTTGTATAAGGAAGCAAATTCTATAAGTAATTTCACAAAATTTTTTGAGAAATGTTGATATTCATAGGGGTAATTTAATAATTTTAAATTAATGAATTATTGAAGTATAAGGCGCCGAATTCAACAAGTTTAACTTTTTTCTAAAATTTTTTTAGGAAGGCTTAGGCCTCATTTGGGATAGCTTTTATACTGTTTTCTAAAATAATTTTTAATACAAAATTTTTTCGAACTAAAATTTTTTAACTAAAAATTATTTTAAAAAGTAGTAATAAAGCTGTCCCAAACGAAGCCCAAATCACCCTTCATTCATTTATGGAAACTTGTTTTTTCATGATGTAAGTATTTATCATTGATAAGGACTTACAGACACAAATCTCAAGGGAGAAGTGAATGGAACTCTAAAGCTTTTTTTATGAGAAATTTAAATTTAATTGGGGCTTTATGCAATTTTTTAGGCACAAGGAGAAAGGAGTTGTATATTTCCAGAAGACCCTGGTCAGGTACTCTTCCTTGATAGAAAAAAAAAAATTGTAAATTATAAAATGGGCTTGAAAATCATTATTTTCGCTTTGAAATTAGTGCATATAAAAAAATTTATATGCACTATTATCTTAAAATAAATTTAATAAGTTTAAACTAGTCTTAATATAATTTATATGAGATTATCTCTACATTTTCTTTCACCTAATGTTCTCTATTCAAAGTTGTGTTTCTTACAAAGAAGAGGACAAAGTTTAACCATAACTAATAGAACCCTTTAAGATCTACACCAGCTTTAATTTCTTATATAAAAAGGACAGCGAAGGAGAACTTTACAGCTTTTAAGGATCATCTCTGAAAAAAAAAAAAGGAAAGTTCAAAGCTTTGTTTTGCTTTATTTGACACTAATATCTTTGTTATGGTGCTATGGCAGTTGTTGAATGATAATTGCATGAAGAAGAGAGGTCCATCTGATCAGGTAAAATTAGTCACTAAGAATTATTAATTGTTCTCTTTGAGTATATATATTTCTTGTACTCTAATCCTGATTGATTAAACTTGAATTATAATCAACAAAATGCTTCTTATTTGCTTGCATTCTCCGTTACGTTTATCAGAATGGCAATGATGAGACCAAGAAGGATCTAAGGAGTAGGGGTCTATGCCTTGTACCTGTCTCTTGTACATTACATGTTGGAAGTGACGATGGAGCTGATTACTGGTCTCCATCACTTGGTGGATGCTTTCGATAGGCTTTATTTGAGCTTCAAAATAGTTAAATTAATGGTGGATATATCATCAAGAGCAGTCATTCTGGTAAGGAAGAAGAAGGCTGATTGCTCTTGATGCTATGCAAAATTAAGCGCTTGATGTATCAGTTTATCACACTCTTGATTTGAAGATCTCTACTTCTTTTTTTCTTTTTGTAAGAAACATTTTATTTACTGTTAATGAATGCCACTTTATATGTACAGTGTTGGTATGATTATTAGTTGATGATGGTTTATATCAGTCAGGAGGAAAATGGTGGATTTGAGATAGAAGATATTACTGTATGATCAACCTGCTTGAAATAAGAGCGAGCGAGCTCGTTGCATGCTGGAATAATTGGCATTAAATGAACAGACAAAGAAAGCAGTTTAGAGTAATTGTTAAGAGACGCATTATTTTTTATATAAGAAGGGTCAAATAAAAGAAACTTTATGGTGTCATTGTTCAAATGAAATATGTGAGTCAAGAATTAAAAAAAATAAAAAGTCCTCATAATTAGAGAAAACATAATTCAGATATAGTAGATAAGCTTGGTCAAAGACCGATATAACAATATTAGGATTATATAAGTGTCTAAGGCTTCATTTGGGACGACTTTTTTGTTGCTTCTTAAAATAATTTTTTAGTATAAAAATTTAATTTTTGTATTAAAAATTTATTTTAAGAAGCAACAGAAAAACCATCCCAAACTAAGCCTAAGTTGTCACCAAGCAATCAAAGATGTTAGCTTCGTCGGACACCGATTGACTAGAAAATCATATATCAAACACCGGTAGCTATGAATATCGTATGTCGATGATTAGTTTATTTGGAAGAAGGTCATAAAAAGGATTGTAGATAATCAGTGATCTACTTGATCGTTATCTCAATAGGAGGAGAGATCAAGCAATATGGAAGATGGGTGTTGCCAGTTAGAGCCTAAAAATGTCAGATTTTAGGTCAAAGCTTTTAAGGACTTGGATCTTATGAGGATGGGCTCAAGTCAATCGATTATGTAGAAATTGGCTATATTCATGTGCCCTCACTCACTGCACATGTGGATTAGTCATGTACATTCTATTTTAAGTTTTTTCTTGATTTTTTGGATGACATTCCTTAAGATTTTCAAACATTCACCAAAATATCTTTAAAATTTCCTAAAAGGTATATAAACAATTCTCTTTTAACTCTCCTCCAAATCATATTAAGAACTCCATTTGAGCTCTAGGAGAATCACAATTTTCATCTTCAGCTATCAATTGTCTCTATAAAGATTGATTTTCCTTAAGATTTTCCTTAAGATTTGAATGCCCTTATTTGGATTTAGCAAAAGATGTATTTTTTTAGATTTATAATCCCTATGATATGATCTTTCTCTAAAAAGATGGTCAATTATTATCATTTGGATAGATTTTAATTGGAAGAAGTTTTAAAAGTTTATAGTCCATGTAGCCATGCTCCAGACTTCCTTTGAATTAAATAGAGATTGATTATTCTGATTTGGATGAATTTTAATTGAGGAGAGCCATCCAAGGTTCATAACTTCTTTGGGTGAGACTTTAATCTTGCCCAAAAAAAGTGGCCAACTATCCTCATTTAAATGGATTAAACTAAAGAAATATCAAATTATTTCTTCCTAAACTCAATTTTTCTTTGAAAAGAAGACCATCATCCCTAAATAATTTATCATATTATTGTTGATGCGCATAATATAGTTAGTTAATGGATGACATCAAGTGGAGGAGATGATGGTAATCAACATTGTTCAACAAATGGAATCCACTTACCATTCCTCTCTTTCTCGAAATCAACCCATCTCTCATCTCTCCTCAGTCTCCTTCACTTACACATTATATCCATCTTTGTGTATCCCTTCATAGTCCACTCTTAGCTATGGCAATCACCATTGACAAGGCCATTGATTAGCCCCTTCTTTTTCCTTCCCTCTCTATCCCTTTTATCTCTCTCTCTTTTTTTTGTCTCCCACCTCTCCTTGTTGTTCTTCTTCTTCTATCCTTACATTTTCTTTCACCTCCATCTCTCTTTTTCCATGACTTTCTCTCTCTAGGCTTCACACATGCATTCTTTTAGATAACAAGCACACCATTTATCACTTTCTTTACCTAACTCTCACCCTTTCTTTCTACAAATAACAACATGCATGCCATCTCATTATCCATTATTTCCCCTCTCTAATCCCCTTGCTCTTTGTCCTTTTCTTCCTCTCTCCAGCGACCACTTTAAACACTCTCACTTCATGTTTTCAAAAAATATCATCTATTTTACAACATAGTCCATATTTTATTGATACACATCATTTGCCTAAATTCTTGCATTATATCATTATCACCTTTGTCTATGTGTATACTTATCATATGAAGTGCATTATTCTATATCTATTATAAATTTATTAAGCATTATGTGCACCACACATTATACATCTTTCTATATCCTCCTCATATTTCTTACTGATGCATGCTAATACATATATCACTCATCTTTCTACATACATTGGATATTTCTTATCATTACATACATTGCATTTCTTGCATCATTTCCCACACATAAATTAGTTCTAACCATCGCACATAATGCGTCATTCATCATCATGCGCAACATTCATTTTTTATCATAATATAATGTGATGATACCTTAAAATTAGTCTCATCTTTGAAGTTAGCTTGTGTGTCTCTAGGATATTTTAAAGTAATTGTTTCATATCATCCTAATAACTAAGAGAAATAATTTTTTTAAAGATATAATACTTAATTAAGCTTTAATGTGCAATTTAATATGTCTTTAGCTTGATCTAGCTTGGCTTAAACCAATTAGTGGCCTAGGTTGGATTGACCTAGCATATATTAATTTGCTTAATTTTTTTCATTGTACTTTATACTCTTGACCTATCCTAGGCAATTCTAGTTATTCTTGGGTTACTTAGTGTATTTTCTAGTTAGTTCAAGTTACTATTAGTAACCCTAAGTATGTTAGCATTCATAGCTTTGTCCTCTTAGATGATTAAGTTAAGTAGTGATTATTCTTAAGCATGTTCTATTGTCCCTAAATTATCTAGTAGATCTCATACCTTTTGGACTTTGATTTTATTTTAATCAAACCTAGGTAGTCTTAATACCTACCTTGGACTAATAAGTCATTATCCTCGATAGCATTAGATGATTCTAATTTTTCTTAAATACTAGGTCAATATTAGTTAGTCTCTAATGGGTATAATGATGTGACACTCCACCTTATAATGAAATATACCCAACATTGTACTCTTTTGACTTTAAGATGATGTGGTCTACCTTAGGGTGGATTATGTCTGACCTTATAGTCCTTGGACTTATGAGTTTAAAAGCCTATAGTGAGTTTATAATCATTCCCTTAGTGACACCGGACCGGAGGGGGCTCGACGAATCCACGTCGACGATCCGGTGGCGGTCGCCGGACACAACTCCAAGAACTCCTTCTTGGAGCAAGATCCACCACCGAAGAATCACTCTTAGGATACAGGAAAAAACATGAGATAAACTGAAATTTTATTCATATCAAAATCTTCTTTATTACAAGCATTGGCTACCTATTTATAGACAAAAAGAAGCATCATAATAGGCTACATACAAAACAAGAAAACATTACACCTCTATAGCCCTATACTACCAAATGGATTTAATATAGCCTGAAGTTTAATACAATTAACGGCTCAGCTCCGGCGTCATACTACCGGGGTAGGAGGAACTTCAGGCTCATAGGAAGATGTCTGGTTGACCACATTAAGGAGGCGGGTTTGGTTGGCTAAACCGGTTTGGATATTTCCACCCGGTGTCATTCGCCTCGTTGAGGAGAGACTGAAGTCGATGAAAGTTGTTGATGAATTTAATGGTTTTGTTCTTTCTCCTTTCTTTCTCATCCTTATAATTAGAAAACTCCTTAATTAGCTCTTTCAAATGGCACTTTTCAAGGTCTGAATCAAACCCAGCACCAAACTGATCAACCATACAAATATTAGCATTCACCGCGAGAGCTTTTATGAACTTTATGTCGGAAAGTGTAAAGGTATCAAGGTGGTTGTCATGGTCAAGTTTGATCATACCCATTTCACTATCAATAATGATGAGAATATTTGTTGTCTTATCAAGAATGACCAACTCCGGTGGTGCATCCACCTTGTTCTCATCATCATCATATACGGGTTGATCAAAATTAAGAACTCCTATGAATGTGTTGTCATCATATTCGTCATACACTGGCTCATCATAAACGGGTAAAGACGATGATTTTAACAATGAATCTTCAAACCGATCGAAACTGGACTCGATCAAAGGGGCCGAGAAAGCCATATGATTTTGCCCTTCAAACAAGTCGTTGCAGAAAGACGAGATCTCATAATCCTGTGGTCGGCTACAAATAAAGTCTCGGGCAAGGGGCCTCAAGCCTTTCCTCTGTTCGAGCTTTGACATGCGTCATTTGAGTTGAATAATTTCTTGCTGAAGATCTTCTATTTCAGCTTGTTGCAACGTTCGTCGGAGAGGCATGCTTATAATCTTCAAGAATCTATTCAAGACAGTCAAGACAGATGCGAAACTCCTGCGGTGCGAGACGTTCGTTTGACTATAGAAACTGGCGCCTGAAGATGTGAGTCCGATGGCTGTAAAGGAGGATCCAGTGGAAAAATTCCTGGCACTTATTCGCTTTAAGCTGCAATTCGCCTGACTGAGCCGAGGTAGGAAAATGGAAGCCCCTTCACATAGAAAAGCTTGCTCCCGCAAGCCTCGGATTTGGTTTCAAGATCGAAGCAGCTTCTTGTTGGCTGCTGGGAACAAGAATCCGGAGGAGGGTTTGGGCTGCAGTTCTTGCTGCTGGAAGATAATTCAACCCAGATCGGTGATGAGGCCTGCGGCCACCTTTGAATAGAAAACGACTGCCTTAAAAAAAAAACTCAGCAAACACTTCCGATTGGTTCTCAAGAAGATCTGTTACTTTTTGTTCTGTCTTGTTCCACCACCAGTAATTGGAAACGGATATAATACAGAACAACCAAGAGATAAACAAGAAGGCTATTTCTTTATCTTTTGATGGCTGATGTGTTCTTTGCGGTTGTTGTCTTGAAGTCCGCCTTGGATGGAATTGCTACTGTGTTGTGGAGAGGATCTGAGTGAACGCCTGCTGTCTTGAGAACAGGATAGGCGCTAATTGTTCTGAAACAACTCTCTCTATTCCAGG